CCGCCCCCCTGGCCCCCGAGTTCCCCTGGATGAAAGAGAAGAAATCCTCCAAGAAGCCGGGCCAATCTGCCCCGTCTCCTCTGGCCGCCTCCTCGGTCCCAGCGTCCGGAGCCGGCTCGCCCACAGGTCAGGAAAAGGGGTAGGGGTGGAGCGAGGGGCAGCTAGAAGACGGGGGGAGAAACGGGTGGGGGAGGGAGAAAATGTGGCGAGCCTGTTGGGGTTCCTTGCCCCGTTGGTTCCAGGGACCGGGAAGCAGAATAGACCGCTGGGGTTCAGGCCTGGCCGCTGTCAGACACCCCCACCCCCACCCCCAAGCAGAATTTGGAAGCTGGTTGGGGAAGAGCTTTTTCTCTGCTAGGAAAAGGGTGTTCGGTTGACCTTTATCTGTGTGGAGGCATGAAAGTGTGTTGTTGCTGGCGCTGAATCTGGGGGCTGGAAAAGATTCGGTTCCATATCCCCCGGCTGTTACACAAGAGGGGGAACCCAAGAGCTAGGGAGGAAAGAAGGTGAGGAACAATCTTTCTTTATGCGCCCTCTCCCCGGGTGGAGACCGAATTAAGGGGTCCACGCGGAGGACTTGGGGGAGGCTCAGAGGTTCTGGGGGCACAGAGGAGCCGCTTCCTAACCCCTTCCCGGCCCGTGGGCGGCTCTCTGAATGCTTTGCCCTGACCTGGGCCGGCTGTGCGGGCGAGAGAGACGGGAAAGAAGAGGGAAAAGCAGCGAGAGCGAGCCGCTGTGGTGGGCGGGCGGGAAAGGGCACGGCTGCTACTGTTTCTGGCGGATGGAGTAGTTTTTATTTCAGCTGAACTGAGGTTGGGAGGAGGATTCGGCCGCTCTGACGCCCCGTCTGCTTTCCCAGCAGATGGCCCCGGGCTGGCGGAGGCGGCCGGCGGCGGGGCGCGCAGGCTGCGCACGGCTTACACCAACACGCAGCTGCTGGAGCTGGAGAAGGAATTCCACTTTAACAAGTACCTGTGCCGGCCGCGCCGCGTGGAGATCGCCGCCTTGCTGGACCTCACCGAGAGACAGGTCAAAGTCTGGTTCCAGAACCGGCGCATGAAGCACAAGCGGCAGACGCAGCACCGAGAGCCGCCCGACGGGGA